AGATATAAGTCCCTTATCTGACATGTCATTACCAAACACTTTTTCCCAGTCTGTGGCTTCCCTTTTTACCCAGTTAGAGAAGTTTCCAGATGCGCATAGGGATTTGATTCTTAGAAGGTCCCATTCATCTATTTTATCTTCTCCTGGTTGTAAATTTTTCTGAATACTTGGAAGACTCTTTACGTTGTGGATTAGGACTAGTAAAGTTCTTCCAAGCTTTTATTGAATGAACATTATAGTCCTTGGCTTTAGTCCTAGGTCCATGATCCACCTTGAGTTGGTTTTTGTATATGGAGTGAGGTGGGAATCTTGTTTAATTCTTCTGCAGATAGTTTTCCTATTTTGCCAACACCATTTGTTAAAAAGGCTGTCATTTCCCCACCTAACTGTTTTTCTCTCCTTGTCAAAAATCAGTTGACCATAAATAGATGGGCTGATTTCCGGGTTCTCAATTCTATTCCATTGATCTATGTGTCTGTCATTGTACCAGTACCATGCTGTCTTGACTACCATCAGTATTTTGCTTGCATGTGATATTAATGCTATTGTTTGATAGTTTCCACATTCAGTTGGATCACCTTTGTGTGCCATTGATTCCTGAGGCCTTATTTTTTGCTAGTGCCTTCAATGGAGCTTCCACTTACTCTCATTACCATTGGCTTCTATTCATATGGTACTTCCTGAAATTTTTCAGTGTCAATCAATTCTTTCTGGTATAGTGAACACTGAAGTGTGTTCCCTCCATTTTCTTTTGCTGTATTCTGAGTCATTTAATATATTGTGCATAGTATCTCTTAATATTGAGACACAACGCTTAAATCTGTTTTTTCAGTTCTTTCAGCTTGAGAAATGGAAAGTGAATTCTTCCCTTTTTATTCTCTAATTCCAGCTCTCTACACATTCCATTAATAGTTTGCTTTATCCTCCTGAGCTGCTCTTTGAAATCTTCTGTTCAGCTTTTTCACTTTGATATGTTTCCCGTTTGTTTTGAGTTCTTAATGCTCCAGTACAAATTTTAGAGTCTCTTCTGTCAGAAGTTCAAGCAGGATTTAGAAGAGGTTGTGGCAACAGGGATATCATTGCTGATGTCAGATGAATCCTGGCTGAAAGTAAAGAATACCAGAAGAATGTTTATTTGTGCTTTATTGATTATGCAAAGGCATTTGACTGTGTAGAGCCTAACAAGTTGATGCTGACATTGAGAAGAATGGGAATCCCAGAACACTTAGTTGTGTTCATGTGGAACTATACCTGGACCAGGAGGCTATTGTGTGAACAGAGCAGGGGAATACTTCATGGTTTAAAATTGATAATGGAGTGTGTCAGGGTTGAATTTTCTCTCTATTCATAATTAATCCATATGCTGAGCAAATTATTTGAGAGACTGGACTCTATGAACAAGAATATGGCATCAGGATTGACGAGGAACTCATCAACAACCTAAATTATGCAGATGATAACACTTTGCTTGCTGAAAATTAGGAGGACTTGAAGCCCTTGTTGAAGAAGATCAAGGAATACAGCCTTTGGTATGGATTTCACCTCAATGTCAAAACAAATATTCTTAACACTGGACCGTTTGGCAGCATCATGATGGATGAAGAGGAGATTGAAACCGACAACAGCTTCATCCAGCTTGAATCCACAATTAACATCCTTGTTACCAGCATTCAGGAAATGAGGAGATGCATTGCACTGGGGAAGTCTAAAGTTAGGGACTTTTCCAAATTACTGAGGAGTAATGAGGTCAGTTTGAGGACTAAGATGTGTCTGACTCAGGCCATAGTCTTTTTAGTTACTTGCTACGTGTCTAAGAGCTGGGCAATGAATAACTATGACAGAAAAGAATTTATGCCTTTGACCTGTGGTGTTGAAGTATTCCATGGATAGCCAGGAGAACAAATGGATATGTTGGAGAGAGTACAGCTGGAGTGCTCTTTGGAGGCAAGAATGATGAGGCTTTGCCTCACATACTTTGATGTGTTGCTAGAAGGGGCTAGTCCTTGGAGAAGGACATAATGCTGGGAAGGATAGAGGGTTGGCAAAGAAGAGAAAGAGCCTCAACCAGTTGGATTAACATGGTAACCATGGCGTGAGAATGGCACAGGATCGAGCAGGGATCAGATCTTTTGTTCATAAGGTCACTATGAGTCATACTCAATTTGACAACACTTAACAACAACAGTCCCTTTCCTGTAGAGCATTTAGTGGATTTGAAATGTGTGCCTTTGGGATTGCAGGTTCTTACCACCAGGCCAGCAGAGCTCCCTCAGATGTTTTCTCTGAAATCTATAGGGGAAGGTATTTCTAGACTCTTCCACCTTCTGATATCTCTAATCATTCCATGTCTTAAGGCAGTAGCATCTATCTACCTTTATCTTTATATATTCATCTTCCCTCTGTGTATCTTTCTCCCCTTCTTTTGATAAGGATTCCTGCCATACGGGGTTAAATCCCACCTTAAATCCTGTATGACTTCATGTCAACTGATAACATATATCCAAACAAAGTTACAGTGAAAGGTGTCATGAATTAGGACCTCATCAGATCTTCTTGAGGGACATGATTCAACCCATGATACTGATAGACTGCCAAACTACCAAAGATGTGGTAAAGGGCAAGAATCTGACCACAAAATTAAAAAAAAAAATTCTATTTCCAGCCACTGCTTGTCTTATGAGAAGAGAGTTATTGTGGGAAATTACTTTCTTCTCTGAAGCCATGAGGCTGACTCATATAATCAATCTGCTTTATTGGGACCTGTGCAGTAATAGAGTCTTAGTTGATCGGTTATTCCCTATTTAGATTTTTAAATGCATGACACTATAAAATATAAAACTAAAAGAAAATATTAGCTTAGACTTTCATACAACTGGTACAGCCTTGTACTTCATGTGGCCATGTCTGAACACACACAGGATATGATGGCTTTTCTCTCCAGATTGATATTACACCTGGAGAATGAGTATGTGTCCCTTCAGGAGATGCTCAGTTAAGGGCACAGATTGAAAGAATATTTTTAATTTGAATCTGGTAGTGATTTTTTTCTGCTTATGCAGCGTACTGTAAATTCATGTCAGTGTTGGCAGACATACAGAGAAAGGGGACCAAGAAGGTCAGCATTTCAATGGGGAGAATGACCATGCTTCCGGTGTATCATCAGCTGCAGATAAATGAAAGGTCTTTGCATATCCCTTATATAAAAGTCCATTTACCTATTCATCATTCTGATTCAATAATCCTCAAAAAACACTCTAAAATCACTGAAGTGCCTTCAGATAAGACATTTATGAACATAGACGAATGGTAGCAATTCTTCCTATAGTAGAGGACAAAACTGGAAAATAATAGATTTACACTCAGTCTTTCACACACTGACATTGAGTTGTAGCTGTTATAACTGACCCTCCAGTGAGTTTTCTAGGTTAAAATTGACTCATAGCTGACCTTTCAGCAGGTTTCCAGAGGTTAGAAATTGCACAGGAGGAGATTGGTCATCTTTCTCTTATGGAACAGCTGGTGGATTTGAACTTCATACCTTTGGGTTAACAGTGCAACTCCTGAACCAAAGAGCATTAAAGTCATAATTTTAATGCTTTATGTTTTGGACATATTTTGAAGGTTAAATTATTGCTACAGAAATTAAACAGGCACAGAAAGTAGACATAGGAGAATTAGTTTCATTTTGACATTACAGTATGCTTTCTAAATTGTGAGTGGAATTTATTACCTGGTGAAAATTAGACACTCAATTGGGATGATGCTTGACACTACCATAATCCTTAGCAGCACCCCACGGAGAGCATTGAGATAGCACGGAATGTTTGGTTATAATAACTGTGTGTATTTTGTACACCAGTTAATCCACTGATTAATAATTTATTATCCCTGATTTATTAGAGAGATTGAGGCTCTGGGATGACAAACCATCACCCAGAAAGAAAGCAAAGAAAACTCAAAATTGATTCAAAGCAGAATCAAATATAACTTCCAGCAAAACTTTATACCAAATAAAAGGAGAAATATTTTATAAGGGTATTAACAATATAGGCATATAAGCTATTATATATAAATATATAGTATATTATATACTAACATATTCATATCATCATATATTTATAACGTATAAGACCTCTAGAATATGTAAATATATATTTGGTTTATTAGTCGTTAGAGAGTGGCACTGTCAATCCAAAGGCAGATGGTTCAAATCTACCAATTGTTCCATTGTCAAAAGATGGGCAGGCTTCTCCAGTGTGATTTATACTCTGAAAATGCTCTGGAGGGTCAGCTATGAGTTGGTTCTTACTCTACAGCAATGAGTGAGTATATATGTATGTGTGTGTCTGTCAAAATATGCATAACAGACATTTGCCAATACAAAGTCGATCTTTCATTTTTAAGATGTTTAGCATTAAACATTATAAATGTTAAAATTCAATTTTAAGCATTGAAAATTCTAAAACTGTAATTTCTCAGTTTCCTCTGCTTCTTTTAAATACAGTGTGCAATTTCCTTGTAAAAATTTCATAGACATGGATATTAGTAAATTGAATGACTAGGAAATTGAAGGATGGGGCTTACACTGTTAACAAAGAAAGAGAAAAAAGTATTCTCAAAATATGATACTTTTCAAAAACAAAAAGTGGGGAAACCAAAACAAAAATGAGGGAGGCCGAGGCCTATTCTGTTAGCCTCCCTGGGGAGCATGCTGAGAGTTTGAGCAGTGGGGTCCTAACTCACAGCACTTGTCTACTCCCCTCAGGCAGCGGTGTCTGACCAGGAAAGGAAGAAAATGAAGCGGAAAGGAGACCGATACTCGATGCAGACCTCACTCATTGTGGCAGCTCTAAAGCGACTCCTGCCAATTGGTCTGAACATCTGTGCCCCTGGGGATCAGGAGCTCATTGCTCTGGCCAAGAACCGATTTAGCCTGGTAAGTTTCCTTTCCAGGCCAGTGGTTATGACCCTTCAACCTCTAAACTCTGCAGAGTCTCAACTCCTTTCTCTCAGAGCTCTTTCAATATGCAGTCACAGCGAACATCTTACTAAGCAGTATTTTTTTTCCATAGGCCCTATGACTCAGATACAGCAGCTGGCTATTTGTTTTCAGAGGCCATTATTTCTAAATTATGCTATTCGTCTTTAGGAGCTAGTGGGGAATCAAACAAAAGCCACAAACAATTCACTGAGAGTAAAAAAGTGAATTTAATTTGAACTCCTATATAAGATTTTTGATGGGAGATGCATTCAGATTTCTAAAGAATGATTTACAGTGTTTAAAACATAATGTATTATGCTTCCTGTACCATAGGTAGAGTGTTGATTTTAAAATAAGCAGCACCTTCCTTTTGTGACCAACAGATTTAAGTTCTCAAGATTGATTTGTTCTGTCTGCTTCATAGTTATAGAGATTGAGGATACAATCTTTAAAACTATGTACTGGAATTGGCATTTTTATATTTTGTAAGGTGGAGAGCAATGCTTCCCCCTAACATCCATAGAGAATCTTTGAGCCAACTCCTTGTACAAACTAAGTTTGGCATTCCAGAAGAGTACAGATTCTTTTGTGTAGTTCTATTGACCCTTTTCTCAGAATGGGTACACAGATCCACACTCCGCACTATGATTAGAGCATGGAATTTATAACTAGTTATTGGTAGAATGCAGATGTATTTGTCTTTTGTCCCCAAGGGAATCCATATTTCTTCTACTCTTCTTGTTATGAATGAAGAATTTGAAATTAACTTCTTCTGAGTCTAAATGCTCATACCATGGATGGTTGTTTCATGTTAGGTCCATATTAAGAGGATGTTGAAGGAGAGAATGCCCAGTATTTGTAGAACATATTTGGAATTTACAAATAGATTTGTTTTAGAAATATACTATAGCAAAAAGGAGAGCTCTGGTAGCCTAGTGGTGAGGAGTTGCACTGCTGACACAAAGATATGTGGTTTGAATCTACTAGCTACTCTGCAGAAGAAAAATGAGCAGTCTTCTCCCATGCAGTTTATTGTCTCTGAAAACCCACTGGAGGGTAAGCTAAGAGTTAGCTCTGACTTGAAAACACTTAAAAACAACATAGCAAAAGATATTTGCATTCATTGTACTATTTTATGACCATTAGTACATTATAAGACTTCTTTTAGGTAACTTTTATTTCTTGACAGAAAGACACTGAGGATGAAGTGCGAGACATAATCCGTAGTAATATTCATTTACAAGGCAAGGTAAGCTAGCTGTGTTTTATTCTAATGTACAATTAATGTGTGTGTGTGTGTGTGTATTTTTGTGTGTAGATCTATACATGAGTATAGGAATTGTGCTGCCAACTCAAACAGTTAAAATCTAGCATCTGCTCTGAGGAAGAAAGAGGAAAAGTCTCCTCCCATGCCAGTATTTCTCTAAAATATAATAATATTACCATAACAATTAATATAGTAAAAATAATATTGTTTGAATCAGTTATTGTTAGAGCTACAGAGCTGCACTTCCTCCTTTTCTCAGAACAGCCACTGGAATGATCAAAGCATAGGAAGCAACAGCTATAACTCTGTTTGTCTCTATAAGGGCTACAGAAATATTCCACCTTCCTTTCCCAGGAATAACTATCTATGACCCCAACCTGCTTTCTTACCTTGTAAACAACAGCTGCCTACAGCCCCCCTGCCCAATTTCCTTGTGAGGTAATATAAAACTCTCCTCTAACTTTAAGTAGCTGTTGGATTCTCCTTTAGAGTTAGCCTGGCAGTTACTCTTCGATAATTTTTCTTTCTTGGCCTGAAATAGGTTTTGTCCATCCTCAGCGACCTTACCATTATTATACAAGTTGTTGTTGTTATGTGTCATCAAGTCACTTGTAACTTATAGTAACCCTATGTACAAAAGCCTAAAACCCTGCTCTATCCTGTGCCAATCTTATTGTCTCTGACATACCATTACCTCAGTCACTGAATCAATCCATCTCATAGAGGGTCTTCCTCTTTTGCACTGTCCCTCCACCCTCCCAAGCATGATGTCCCTCTGCAATGATTGGACCCTCCTTTCAACATGTCCAGAGTATGTCAGACAAAGATTCAGAATTCTTGCCTCCAAGGAGTAAGTAGCCTGATTTCACCCTCTCTAGGATAAACCTGTTTGTCCTCTTAGCAGTCTGTGGTATATTCAATACTCTTCTCCAGCACCACAGCTTAAAGGCATCTGTTCTCCTTATATCTTCCCTAGTCATTGTCCAGCTTTATGATTCAGAGCACCTGTATCAGGTGCACCTTAATCTCCAGACTAACATTATTGCTCTTCAGTACTTTGAAGAGGTCCCAGACAGAAGATTTTCCCCAGTGCAATTCGTCTTTTAATTTCCTGGCTGCTGGTACCAAGAGTGTTGCTTGTAGAGCCAATATATTTCTTACAAACCCTTATATTACAAACTCCAAATAGAATAAATAATGCATTGTTTAAAGTAGTTCATCAGAGTGTCTGACATTGAAAACCTCCTATGATTAATTAGAAATAATAAAGCTTGGAAATACCCTTTGTATCATTCAGCTTAAGGACTTTGGAATAAAGAGGCAGGCTTGCCAACAATTTAAAAATTTACATTGAATATTTGTGAATTAAATATACATTCTAAAGAGTAATTAATATTTTAATGGCTAAGGAGGAGAGCTTCTAATTCAAAGATGGAGTTAATTTCTATGAAAGAAATTAATTTACCAAAGAGGAATTGTACATTTAGAAGAGAAATATGGATAGAAACCAAGGTAACATCTAGACAACTAGATTAAGAATTGTCAGAGTTTTGTTGTTTTTTTAAAGTCTAATTGTTGTTGTTAAGTCTAATAAGCTTTTATTTATTTGGACCTTTTTTTTCATACATCTGAATAAATCATTCATTTGTTTCTAGAACCTGTCATTTAGTTTAAGAGCAAAGATTTATTATTTAAAACGAATCTGGTTTTGTTTTCGAATCTCATCTCATTGTGTATGCATGTGTGTGGGCATGCATGGGCAACATGTCTGTAGCATATGTATACATATGTTTATAAATACTGCATATAACAAATTATGACTAGTATTGAGAAGACTAGGAATTTCAAAACAATTGTGCTCATGAGAAGCCTACATCTAGACCTGTTGAAAGAAGCTGTTGGATGCAAGGTGGCCACCGGGCGTGCATGAAGAGGACTTGTGGACTCGGATAGAAACGCAAGGGGCGGCCTGGCAGAGTGGAGACGCTCAGTGCAGATTGAGTCAGGCACGTGCCAGGACAGCCCCAAGAGACCGTCCCAGAAGCCCACGCTGCCTTCTGCCGCACGTGTTTCAACACGACACCAAAATCCAAGCTCGGCAAGAAAGTTTCCTTAACCAGAACTGCCAAGAAGGCTTGGAATTAAAACAGAACCTAATTGAAGAGCTTCGGAAACATGTGGACACATACAAGTACCTCTTAATCTTCTCCATGGCTAACATGAGGAACAGTAAGCTGAAGGACGTCCTGAATGCCTGGAAGCACAGTCAGATGTTCTTTGGCAAAAACAAGGTGATGACGGTAGCCTTAGGTTGAAGCCCATCTGATGAGTACAGAGACAGCATTGAGCAAGAAGCTGAGGGCTGAAGTTGGTCTCCTTTTCACCAGTCGCACTAAGCAAGAAGTGAATGAATGGTTCACTGAGTTAACAGAAATGGACTTCCCCCGAGCTGGTAATGAAGCACCTTTCACAGTGAGCCTGGATCCTGGGCGCCTTGGAGCACTTTACCCACTCCATGGAGCCACAGCTGAGGCAGCTGGGCCTGGCCACTGCCCTTGTGAAAAGTGTGGTGATCTTGCTGTCTGACTATGAGGTATGCGAGGAGGGCCATGTGCTGAGTCCAGAGCAAGTGTGTGTCCTAAAACCTTCTGGTTATGAGATGGCTGAATTCAAAGTGACCATCAAGTACATGTGGGACTCAGTCTGGATGGTTTGAACAGATGGACAGCGATTTGCCTGAAGAGTGCAACTGAGTCGGAAGAAGAAGAATCAAAGGAAGATGACAACTGACTGGGATGCTCAGAGTGGTGACCTCTGGCACTTCCCATGCCTCCCCTTGGTAGGATCAGCAGGACAGTGGCACTGGCTTGAGAGAACAGTTATTTCTTCTGTTATATATGAAGATAAGGAAGAGTGAAAGGGAGTGCTATAAAGAGTTCATCTGCAACTACTCCCTATGGACAGCAAAAGAAACTTTTGATACAAAAAGAAAAAAAAAAGAAGAAGAAGAAGAAGCAGCTGTTGTCCAAACAAAACAAAGTAACACTGCATGGTCTAAAATATATCAGGATTGTATCCTTTCTTCAGTCTGCATGCAGATAAAGAATTTGAGAAACTGGACTATATGAAGAAGAATGTGATAACAGGATTAAAACAGGTCTCATCAACAACCTACACTGTGCAGATGGCACAGCCTTACTCACTGAATGTGAAGACAACTTGCACTTGCTGCAGAAGATGAAAGACTACTTCATTGTGGATTCCATCTCAAGATTAAGAAAACAAAAAACCCTTATCACTGGACTCATAGGCAACATCATGATAGATGGAGAAAAGATTGAAGTTGTCAATTATTTTACTTGGATCCACAATCAACATCTATGATGGTTGTTGTTATTTTTGTTGTTACTATTTAGTGGCATCCACTTCCTAAACAACATGCCTCTGGAAACTCTATGAACTGTGATAAATTGCAATAGTTATAGAAAGGCTTCAGTCCTTTTCTTCATAGGGTTGCTATGAGTTGTGCTCAACTTGATGACAATCAACAACAACAACATTGATGGCAGCAGTCAAGGAACCAAAAGACATATTGCATTATACTGTCATAAGCTTCTTCAAACACTAAAGAGCAAGGATATCAGTAATAAACATGAATGTGCACCTGGTTCAAGCCATGCCATTTTCATTTGCTACTTATGTATCTGATAATTGGACAGTGAATAAAGACCAAAGAATCAGTACCTTTGAATTGCTATGTTGGTGAAGAATATTGAATACACCATGGGATGCCAAGAGAACAAACACATTTATCTGGGAACACGTCATCAAAATATTCCTTAGAAGCAAAAATGTGGAACTTAAATGCTTTGGGTATAGTGTTAGGAAACAGGATCATGTTTGGAAAAGTAGAGAGCCAGTGAAAGAGAGGAAGACCCCCAACAAAATGGATTGACACAGAGACTGCAACAATGAACCTGAGCAAGGTATAGATGATGAGGATGGTATTGTATAGGCAAAATTTTGATCTTTTGTTCATAGGTTTGCCATGAATAGTAACGAATTAGGTGGCACCTAATAACGATAACATAATATTTGATTTGTTCAGTACTATGAAAATATATGGAGAGAGGTATATATGAAAGGTGAGATAACACAATGAAAATTATTGAACATTATCATGAATATCATATGCAAGCAAATTATTTCTGAAGATCATCCAAAAACAGCTAGAACAGTACATTGCCAGAGAACTGCCAGAATTTCAAGCTAAGTTTAAGAGGCTGTGGCACCACGGATATTGCTGATATCTGAATGCTTGATGAGAGCAGAAAATACCAGAAGAATACCTATACATGCAAAGCTATTGATTAGCTCAAAATAAATTATGTCCGACATTAAGAAGAATGAGAGACCCAGATGTAAAAATAACAAGTGCCAAGTGGGGACAGCCATATTTGACCTTGACCAGCTTCACAAAGTGAACTGTCCCCATTAACAGCATCAGTAACACCAAACCAATTCCCATCAGGTCAGACAATTCCCCCTGCCCCCATGCTCTCTCCCTTACTTCTTTATACTCATCTCAGCACCAAACTTACTGCTTTTCTGGATCCAAAAATCCATTGTAATATCTCACAGACCATACAGAATCATATTAGGGGATTCAGAAGTTTATGATGCAGATTAATAATAGAGACTAGTCAAGACAACTCCCAAAATGTGCATGCAGGCACCTCACACTCAAGCCTTGCACCTTCAGGCCAGTGGTTTCCTAGTTCTCAGTCCTACCAATATTGGCTGTCCCCTTGTCAATGTCCCATCTCACATCAAGTCTCCAGTTAGGCTGTAGGTGTTTCTGCCATAGGTGGAGCAAGAGCAAGAGGGGCACCCTACATTGTCTTGCTTTCTCTTCAGAGAAGACGGAAGATCTGTCTGCCACTCATTCTGGCTTGCTCAGTTCAATCCCCTTGTGAATAGGCTAGCACACCCTATTTCCATATTTCTGACAATCTACATAGCAACTTCTCTCTTTAATAATTACTTCAGCATAAAATAGACAATCCTTTCACTAGGAAAAACGATTTTGAATGATAAACCTTAATTTTACTCATATAAAACCTATACCTAGACCAAGAAGCAGTTGTCTGGACAGAGCAAAGGAACATTGTTGTTGTTGTTGTTGTTATGTGCCGTCAAGTCATTTGTGACTCATAGCGACCCTATGTACAACAGCCCTAAACCCTGCTCTATCCTGTGCCAATAGCACTGCCTCTGACACACCCATCCTGATTACCCCAGTCACTGAATCAATCCATCTCATAGAGGATCTTCCCCTCCTGCGCTGTCCCTCCACACTCCCAAGCATGGTGTCCCTCTCCAAGGACCTGTCCCTCCTTGCAACATGCCCAAAGTATGTCAGTCAGAGCCCTATAATCCTTGCCTCCAAGGAGTAGCTTGGTTTAGCCCTCTCCAGGATGAATCTGTTTGTTTTCTTGGCAGTCCATGGTACATTCAATACTCTTCTCCAACACCACAGCTCAAAGGCATCAATTCTCCTTCTGTCCTCCGTAGTCATTGTCCAACTCTCTGATGCATAACAAGTGATTGCAAAGACCATGGCCTGTATCAAGCACACCTTAGTCTCCAGAGAGACACCGTTGCTCTTGAGTACTTTAGAGAGGTCCCTAACAGCAGACTTTCCCATCGCAATACTTTTTTTATTATTTCCTGGCTGCTGGTGCCAAGACTGTTGACTGTGGAGCCGAGCAAACTGAAGCTGTGAACAATCTCAATCTCTTTGCCATCCAGCCTGATGCTACCGATTGGTCCAGTGGTGAGAATCTTTGTCTTCTTGACATTGAGCCTCAGTCCATACTGAAGGCTGCAGTCCTTGACCCTCTGCATCAAGTGCATGAGGTCCTCCTCAGTTTCAGCAAGCAGGGTTGTATCATCTGCATAACACAGATTGTTAATAGATCTTCCACCAATCCTGATGCCACAATTCTCCTCATAGAGCCCAGCCTCCCGGATAATCTGCTCTGCATACAGGTTGAAAAGGTATGGAGACAGGACACATCCCTGGCGTACAGCCTTCCCAATTTTGAACCATGCAGTGTTACCCTGCTCTGTTCTGACAACTGCCTCTTGGTCCAAATATAGGTTTCACATCAGCATGATTAAATGTTCTGGGATTCCCATTCTTCTTAGAGTCAGCCACAGTCAAACGCCTTTGCATAATCAATGAAACACAGATAGACATTCTTCTGGTATTCCCTGCTTTCAGCTAAGATCCATCTAACATCAGCTACTAAATGGTTTAAAATCAGGAAAGTTGTGTATCAAGGTTTTATCCTTTCTTCATACATATCCAATCTGTATGCTAAGCAAAGCATTTGAAAACCTGGATTCTATGAAAAAGAATGTGATACTGGTATCCGAGAAAGATTCCTCAACAACTTGCAGCTATGTGGATGACACACCTTCCTTCTTGAAAGAACAGGAGGACTTGAAACACTTGCTGCAGACGATCAATGAATACAGGTTTCAATATTAATTATGTTACAAAATCAACAAAAATTCTCACCACTGGACCAATAAATATCATGATAAATGGAGAAAAGATTGAAATTGTCAATAATTTCCTCCTACTTGGATAAACAGTATGTTCTTTCCATCTTTTTTTAATACTTCCTGGATCATTTAATATTCTGCCAAAAGCATCCTTGATTATAGCAACTCAAGGTTTGAATTTGTTCTTTAGTTCCTTGAGCTTAAGAAATGCTGAGCAAGTTCGGCCCTTTTGATTTTCTGACTCCAGCTCCTTACACATTTCATTGTAATATTTTACTTTGTTGTCCCGTGCTGCCTTTTGAAATCTTCTATTCAACTCTTTAGTATCTTGAATTCTTCCCTGTGCTTTGGCTTCTCTTCACTGTAGTGCAATTTTCAGAGTCTCTTCTGACATCTATTTTGGTCTTTTCTTCCTCTTCTGTCTTTGTAATGAACGTTTGGCACTCTTCTTGGAAGATATCCTCCCACAACTCATCTGGTCTTTCTCATTAGTGTTCAAGGCCTCAAACCTGCTCCTGAGATGGCTCTGAAATTCAGGTGGGATAGACTCAAAGTCAAATTTTGGCTCCTGTGGACTAGGTTTAATTTTCCTCAGTTTCAGCCTGAATTTGCTTATGAGTAGTTGGTGCTCTGTTCCACAGTCAGTTTCTGGCCTAGTTTTCACAGCTGATATTGAGCTTCTCCAGTGGTTCTTTCCACAGATGTAATCAATCTGATTCCTACACACACCATCAGGTGAAGTCTATGTATATAACCTGCGTTTATATCTCTTAATTTGCAATGAGTAATTCATTGATTGTGCAAAATTTAATCCTCTTCTCTCCAGCTCCATTTCTGTCCCTGAGTCCATGTTTTCCAACTACTGAATCTTCTTCTTTATTCCCAACTTTTGCATTTCAGTCACCCATTATTATCAATGCATCTTGATTGCATGTGTGATCTATCTCTGACTCTAAAAGTTGGTAAAAATCTTCTATCTCCTCTTCTTTGGCTCTGGTTGTTGGTGCATATATCTGAATGATAGTGGCCTTCCTGCATGCGTATGGATATTATCCTGTCACTCACAATATTATACTTCAAGATAGATCTAGCAGTGGCTTTCTTAACTATGAAAGCAACTCCATTTTTCCTCACCTTTTTGTCTCCAGAGTAATATATCATATGGTCATCCGACTCAAAATGCCCCATGCCAGTCCAGCTCATCTCCCCAATGCCTAGTATGTCAATATTTATGCATTCCATTTCTTCCTTAACAATATCTAATTTTCCTATGTTCATGGTTCTCACATTCCATGTCCCAATCATTAGTATCTGCTTACAACTGTTCCTCTTCCTTTGTATTTCCATACCTGAAAGCTCAGCCTTAGTTGTCCTTTCTGTTATCTACATGTGTTCTGTTGTACATAGGGTTTTCAGAGGCCTGCTATTTCAGAAGTTGATGGCCAATCCTTCTTCCTAGTCTGTTTTAATCTGAATGTTCAGATTTAGAGAAGTATCAGACAGACAAGCATTTTATAGAAAAGTGAAAGATATATTCCGTATTGAGGGTACCATGGACTGCTAGGAAAACAAACAGATTCTTCCTGGTAAGGGTCAAACTGGGCTGCTCCTTGGAGGCAAGGATTCTAAGGCTCTAACATATTTTGGACATGTTGCAAGAAGGGACAGGTCCTTGGAGAGAGACATCATGCTTGGTAGGGTAGAGGGACAGCGCAGAAGGGGAAGACCCCCTATGAGGTGGATTGATTCAGTGATTGGGGTAATCTGGATGGGTGTGTCAGAGACGGTGTGTTTGGCACAGGACAGAGCAGAGTTTAGGGATGTTGTACATAGGGTTGCTATGAGTCGCAAACGACTTGACAGCACATAACAACAACCACAACAACAACTTGGATATACAATCAATGTCCTTCATACCAGTATTTAGAAGATCAGGAGGTGCATTATATTGGCCAAGTCTGTAAGGGACCTTTCCAAATTACTGAGGATCAATGATGTCAGTTTAAAGGTATATCTGCTTCAGGATATGGTCTTTTTAGTTGCTTACTGTGCATCTGAGAGCTGGACAGTGAATAAAGAAGACCAAAGAAGAATTGATGTCTTTGAGTTATGATGTTGGAGAAGAATATTCAATAACCCTTGAACTTCGAAAAAAACAAACAGATATGTTTTGGGGAAAGTACAGCCAGAGTGTTCCTCGGAGGCAAGGATGGTGAGACTTTGTCTTATATACTTTGAACACCCCACTAGGACAGACTTGCAAAGGGACATTATACTTGTAAAAGTGGAGAGTCAGTGAAACAGAGGAAAACACTCAATGAGGTGGATTAACATGGTGACTGCACAATGGGCTCAAGTGTGTCAAAGATGATGAGGATGGGACAGGAAAAGACAGGGTTCAGATCTCTTATTCATAGGGTTGCTATGAGTCATAGTCAATGAAGAGGCACCTAACAAAACACACACACACACACACACACACACACACACACTATATATTATATATTATATACATGCATTATACATATGCATATATTTATATACACACACATACACACAATGTTTGTTCAGTTTAATGTTTGATTAACTCTAGCACTAGATCTCCCCCTCTGTAGCCTGTAACCTTGAATTTTAGAATTACTTTCCTTTCTTCTGCAGTTGGAGGATCCTGCAATTAGATGGCAGATGGCCCTTTATAAAGATTTACCAAACAGGACAGAAGATACTTCAGATCCTGAGAAAACAGTCGAAAGAGTGTTGGATATAGCAAATGTCCTTTTTCATCTTGAACAGGTTAGATTTTTTATTTGTTAATGGTATTTGTATTTACCACATGCTGTAATTGAAAAAAGTCTGTGCATTAATTACATGCTATGGCACATCGATGTTAAAGATATTCATGTAAATCAAGAGAGTACTTTAGGCAAGCTCTGGTGGCCTAGTGACAAGAAGCTGTACTGCAATCCCAGAGGTGAGCGGTACGAATCCTCCAGATGCTTTGTTGGAAAAGGAGGGACAAACTCCTCCTGTACGATCTGATTTGATGGTACACACACACACACACACACACACACACACACACACACACACACATTTAAAAAAGAGAGTAATAATCACAGTTGTAAGCATCAAATCATATAAAATATGTACTTTATGTATTTGTGGAGATTCAGAGCTTTATACTTGGCCTTTAAAATATATTCTCAAGCTATACAGATAAATAATGTTATGTCCTTGTTTCAAATATTAATGGTAATAATATTTTTCAGTAGTTTCCATGTTCAATTGAATCACCTTTCTTGGAAATAGGAACAAACATGGATATCTTCCAGTCCATTAGCCAGACAGTAGTCCTCCAAATTCCCTGGGATAGATTGATGAGCACATCCAAGGGTACATCTGTTAATCAAAACAAGTCAGTTGGTATCCTATCAATTCCTGGAGCTTTATTTTTTGCCAGTTCCTTTAATGCAGCTTCTGCTTTCTCCTTCATTACCAAATGTCTGAATTGGTACAGAGGATTTGGACTTACATCCTCCTAAATAAGGGACAGACAATAACGTGACAGACCAGTAGCAGTGTGTGGCACAAGCCATCACAGAAGTGACTTGTGAACTAAGCTATCATATCAAGAGGTGGTCTGAGAAGGGAGGATTTGAAGGAAGAGACAAGACACACATGTTTGGGTAGGGGGGTTAGTGAATTTATTAGTGAATTCTTTAAGGGAAGTGTCTTTTATTTGCTTAGTAAAATGCTTGTCTGTCAGATATTGTTCTAAAACTGAGCATCTGAATTAAGACAGACTAGGAAGAAAGATTGACAGTCCACTTCTGAAATATAACAAAGCATCAAAAACCCTATGTACAGCAGTACACACTTACAGTAGACTAACACATATGGCAACTGAGACTGAGCACTCAAATTTGGAAATACAAAAGAGGAGGAACAAATGTCAGAAGATGGTACGTGGAATGTGAGAAGCATAAATGTAGGAAGACTAGACATAGTTAAGAAAGAAATGGAATGTGTAAATTTTGACATATTAGATATTAGCAAAATGAGATGGATTGGCATGACACATTTTGAATCATACGATCATATGCTATACTATGCTGGAGATGAAAAGGTGAGAGAAAAACGGGATTGCTTTCATAGTTAAAAAGGCTGTTCCTAGATCCATCTTGGAATACATACAAAATTGTGAGTGGCAGGATAATATCCATAGGCATACAAGGAAGACCTGTTAATACCACTATCGTTGACATTTGTGTGACGACAACCAGAGCCAAAGAGGAGGAAATAGATTATTTCTACCAACTATTGCAGTCAGAAATCGATCAAACATGTAACCAAAATGCATTAATAATAATGGATGAATGGAATGTGAAATTTGGGCACCAGGAAGAAGGATCAGTAGTCAGAAAATATGGACTTGGTGACAGAACTGAGGCTGGGGATAGAATGATAGAATTCTGTAAAATCATTGATTTATTCACAACAAATACCTTTTATAAGAAACATAAACACACACACACAAAAAAAAAAGAAACATAAACACAGATTATACTCATGGATTTCACCTGATGGGATGCACAGGCATCAGATTAATTACATCTGTGGAAGGAATTGTTGGAGAAGTTCAGTATTAACAGTGAAAACTAGGCCGAGTGCTGATTGTGGAAAAGACCATTAATTGCTCATATGCAAGTTCAAATTAAAGCTAAAGGAGGTTAAATCATATCCACAGGAATAAAAATTTGATCTTGAGTCTATTACCCATGAATTTAAAAATCAACTCAGGAGTACATTTAAAACAGTAATGAACGAAGACCAGATGAGCTGTGAAAAGATACCAGTTTAAAGACTAATATGCACCTGACCCAAGACATGGTATTTTTAATTACTTTCTATATATCTGAAAGTTGGACAATGAATAAAGATGATTGGAGAAGAAAAGAGGGGGAAGGAATATAGTTCATGAAAAATGCAAAAAGTCATTACAAAGAAGGAAGAAGAAGGACAGACCAAAATGGATGTCAGAAGAGACTCTGAATATTACACTAGAGCATCAAGAAGCCAAAGCAAAGGGAAGAAATTAAGGAGCTAGATAGAAGGTTTCAAAGGTCAACGGGCGAAGACAAGACAAAATATTATAATGAAATGTGTGAGGAGCTGGAGTCAGAAAATCAAAAGGGCTGAAGTCACTCAGCATTTTTCAAGCTGAAGAAGCTGAAGAACAAATTCAAGCCACAAGTCGCAATGCTTAAGAATGCTAAAGGTAGAATATTCAATGATTCAGGAGGCATTAAAGGAAGATGGAATGATAAAGAGTCATTGTATGAAAAAAATTAGCTGACAGAAGAATTTTAATAAACAACATATGATCAAGAGGCAATGGTGATGAAGGAGAAAGTTTGGTCTGTTCTGAAGGAGTTGGCAAAAAATTAAGCCCTAAGAATTGATGGAATACCAATTGACATATTTCAACAAGCAGATGATGCCCTGGATATGCTCGCCAAGGCATGCCAAGAAATCTGGAGGACAACTATTTGACCAACTGACTGGAAGAGATCCATATTTACTCCCATTCCCCCCAAAAGTAACCTGATAGAGTATGGAAATTATCAAACAATATCACTAATATCACGCACTAGCAAAATCCTGCTGAAGATCATCTAGAATGACTTATACAGTACATTGACAGAGAACTACCAGAAATACAAGCTGGGTTTACAAGAGGTCAATTTCAGATGGATCTTGGAAGAAAGGAAAGAGTACCAGAGAAATAGACATTCCTCTGTTTCATTGACTGTGTGGATCACAATAAATTGTGGCTAACCTTGAGGAAAATGGGAATCCTAGAATATTTGATTGCTCTTATAGGAAACCTATACTTGACCAGGAAACAGTCCTCAGAACAAAGCAGGAAAGCACTGCATGATTCAAAATCAGGAAAGGAGTATGTCAGGGTTCATCCCTTCTCCATATAAAAACATAATAACAACAATCAGCTCATATTGTACTTCCTGAATTCTGTCAGTGTCAATCAGTTCTTTTTGGTACAGTGATTCTGGGTATTCCTTCCATCTTTTAGTGTTTTCTAGGACATTCACTATTTTAGCCTATAGTGAAAAGTCATGGAGAGACATTTCACAGAAGAAGATATTTGGATGGCAAACAGACACAGGAAGAAATGCTCAAACTCATTGACAATAAGAGAGATGTAGATCAAAACCACAATGAGATACCATCTCACTCTAGTAGCAGTGGCAAAGTTTAATAGAACAGCAAGTAATAAATGTTGGCGAGGATGTGGCGAGATATGAACTCTTATACATTGTTGGTGAGATTGTAAAATGATACAACTACTTTTTAAGGCAGTTTGGAGCTTTCTTAAAAAGCTGAACAAAAAATTCAATATGACCCAGCTTGGAATATACCCTAAGTGAATGAGAACTGAGGCACAAACAGAGACTTGTACACCAATGTTCATAGATCTGTTATTCACAATTGCAAGAGCATGGAAACAGCCCAAATACCCAACCACAATGGAATGGATTGAGAAATGGTGCATTCATGCAATGAAATACTGTGCAGCACACGGAGCAATAATTTTGTAAATTACTACCTAACTTGGGAGGGACTAGAGAGCATTATGCTAAGTGAACGAACTCAGTCCCATGAAGACAAATTCTGTATGTGACCATTATTGCAGAACATGTATGAAGACCCAAGGGAGTGAGGGAAGGAGCAGGGGTGAGGTTGGGTGGGGACAGGGTAGAGGAGTGAAAGGGTGATTAATCATAAGGTCGCACAATATGATAGGTGGAGTGAGAGGTGGGTAAAGGAAATGGTAAGTAAAGATCTGGTGTGAAAAAACAACATCTTTGAACTTTGTGAATAAGCCAGTATAAAATAAAAATTTATTTTTTTAAAAGAGAAAAAATATATTTTCCAAAAACGTTTGGAAAAATATGTCAACAGAGAACTGCCAGATGTGCAGGCTGGATTTAGAAGAGTCATGGTACTAGGGAAATTACAGCTAATGTTAGATGGATCTTGGCAGAAAGCAAAGAATACCAGAAGAATGTCTATCTGTGCTTCATTGACTATGCAAAGGCTTTTGACTGTGTGGATCAAAACAAGCTGTGGCTGACTCTGAGAAGAATGGGAATCCCAGAACATTTGATTGTGCTAATGCGAAACCTATGCTTGGACCAAGAGGCAGTTGTCAGAACAGAGCAAGGAGACACTACATGGTTCAAAATCAAGAAGGGGGTTCGTCGGGCATGTGTTCTGCTTCCATACCTTTTCAATCTGTATGCAGAACAGATCATCTGAGATACTGGGCTATACGAAGAGGAATGTGGCATCAGGATTGGAGGAAAAGTCATCAACAACCTGCGTTATGCAGATGACACAACCCTGCTTGCTGACTGAGGAGGACCTGAAGCACTTGCTGCAGAAGATCAAGGACTGCAGCCTCCTATATGGACTGAATCTCAACATCAAGAAAACAAATATTCTCACCACTGGGCCAAGTGGCAGCATCAGTCTGAATGGTGAAGAGATTGAGATAGTTAACAGTTTTAGTTTACTTGGCTCCAGAATCAACACCCTTGGTAACAGCAGCCAGGAAATCAAGAGACAAATTGCATTGGGAAAGTCAGCTGTGGGGGACCTCTCAAGAGTACTGAAGAGCAACGACATCAGACTGGAGAGTAAGATGTGCCTGATCCAACCTATAGTCTTTGCAATTACGTGCTATACACCCGAGAGTTGAACAGTGAATA